AGAAGAGAAAAGTAATTGCATGAGATTCAATCCTGTGACTTAAAAAAATGAATTAATTGTTGTGGAGCCACTAGACAACAACCTGAGTTGATTATCATTTGTGATGCATACCCCTATATTTTCCCTCATTATCAACAACTGTTGCACCTTTATAAGATATTAGTGCAGAAAAATTAACGCTTTGTTGGTTGAGGGATTTAGGAAGGAATTTGGAAAGGAAAAGAAAAAAAGTATGTGAAATTAGGTGAAATGCTCTAGTGATGCTCCCACTCTTGAGGCTTTTAACAAAGGACGCTCTGGCGCTCCCTACTCTGCTCTGTGTTTTGGTTACTAATGCCTCACTTGATGCAATTTTCAAGATACCATACCTGCCTATGATAGGCCTCAAGATTTGATCCTAGGATGCAAAGGAATTGGGATATGGGTCAGCCATTTGTTTGAGGGTGAAGCTGAACCTCCATGGTTCAATCGCACCCTATATGAGGAGGCCTTCATGCATACATATTTTTCAATGACCAGCCATCAAGGTTTTAAAAAGCAGCCGCAATTGTTACGTAACGCCGTTCCGCAACGTTGTTGGTTGTAACCGCCACCTTTACGGACCGCTTTTGCCAGTGTGATTGAAGAATTCACAGGTGTGTCAGCCGTAGCGCTGCTATAGCAGTCGTAACGGAGTTGTAACGCCTGTTACGTAACGGTTTTGAATTGCTTCTTTCAAAAAACACAAAAAAAAGTTGAAAATGGGGGAGAGAGATAGTGAGAGGAGAGGAAAGATGGAAGAGCAAGAGATAGAAAGAGAGAAGAGGGAAGATGAAAAACATGTTATTGATTTGTTGAAGTTGTAAGACCCATGTTTTGAAAAGCGCGCTTAGGCGCACCGCCTAAGCTCAAGGCAAGGCAAGGCGTAGCTTTGCGTCTCAGGCATGGTGAGGCGAGGCGACATGGGGGAAGTACTGCTTAGGCGATGAGGCGAGCGCTCCTTTATTACGAACAAGCCTTGTGCGCCTCGGTTTTCTGTGTGGATACCACATGGGATGAAATCACATTTACAGTATAAAATTTCAAAACGTGAGTCAAAAGAGCAAACAACATTATAAAAAAATAAAAAAACCCTAGTGGAGAAGAAGAAGATGACGCGACAAGCACACGCCACGCACGCAGGTTTGCTCTCTTCTCCTTCTCTTCTCTGTTTCTCTTCTCTCTCTGCTTCTTCTCTTCTGCTTCGTTTTCTCTTTCTTCTTTCGTCGCTTTCTCTCGCTTTTGTCTCTCTCGCGATCGCTCTCTCTATTGCCTTCTCTCTCGCCATCGCGATCTCTCTCTTCTGTCTCTTTCTTTATCTCCTGATTCATATATATATATATAATATTATATAATACCTATTATTAATATAAAATATATAATATACTTACAGATATTGGATAATATAAAATATATTTGCTATACTGGTATACTTAAATAACACACCCTTAGGCATTTGTAATCCACCTCAACCTAACCACACCCGTAGGCATATAAAATATAAAATATTTGCTATCTTACAGATAAATAAAATATAATATATATATATAACCACAGCCTTAGGCATTTGTTGATAAAAAAAAATATGTAAAATATAATATATATACTCATACATAGTAATAAAAAAAATACACATGTAATAAAATAAAATAAAAAAATTAATTGAAACATATTATTTAAAAAATATAATAAATAAAGAAAATAATATATATTAAAAAAATTAATTGTTTTTTTTTCTTCTCTTCTTATTAAAAAAATTAATAATATACATATTAAATATTTGCTTATGTTGAAAATTGTGTTTATATTAATATTTTGCTTAACTTCTATAACTTGCGCATCGATCTGGTGAGGCGCGCGCGCCTCGCTTGCGCCTCGACGCTTAGGCTCCAGGTGACTTTGGCGCCATCGATGCACCTAGAGCTTTTTAAAACACTGGTAAGACCTATGCTATTCTATTCAGCTGCTATCACTCAACCATTTTGTTTGTGTGTGTGTGTCTATCTATATATTGTTTAATATAATAATAATAATAATAATATAATAATAATAATAAGTGTGGTCATTATCTATTTGGCTTCATTAAAATATATATATATATATATATATTTAGGCTTTATTTATTTTTTACTTTTTGCATGTTTTATTCTTATATATAATAGTTAGTGATTGATTTTTTGTATATTTTTTTAATGCATTAGTGCTATTAGTGGTGATATTTTTAATGGGATGAATTATGGTTGAATACAAAAAAGCCCAAAAGCCATACTAACTCATTGAATTTTTTTTAAAAAAAAATAAAAAAATATAGCTCTAATATAGCATCAGCCTACACTGTCAACATGACAGTGTAAAGACAGCCCCATCATTTTCGAAATAAATGGCAATTTTGCCCTTTTAAACCTATTTCGGAAAAAGTGAAATTAGGAATAAATTTATCATTTCTGTTTCAAATATCATTTCAAATACATTTTTTAATACATAACTCAAATAAAAATTCATCCTATATTATCAAACACAAAAACTAAAATAACTAACTAAAATAATTAAAAAATTAAAAAATCTCTAAAATAATCACTTCCCAAACACCCATAATATATGGCTCCTTGGAAAGAGAGTAACGAACCTTTGGTTTTGATTTTTATAAACTTTCATTTCTGGATTTTGTTGGCTTCTCACTCCCTCCCTGTAACAGAAAATTAGCTCCTCACTCATTGGTCATAAAAATATATTTTTTATTATCTAATATCTGTAAGTATATTATATATTTTATATTATATAATAGGTATAATATAATATTATATATATATATATATGAATCAGGAAGATAAAGAAAGAGACAGAAGAGAGATTGCGATGGCGAGGGAGAAGGCAAGAGAGAGAGCGATCGCGAGAGAGACAAAAGCAAGAGAGAAGACGACGAAAGAAGAGAAGAGAAGACGAAGCAGAAGAGAAGAAGCAGAGAGAGAAGAGAAACAGAGAAGAGAAGGAGAAGAGAGCAGAACCTGCGTGGCGTGGCGTGTGCTTGTCGCGTCATCTTCTTCTTCTCCACTAGGGTTTTTTTTTATTTTTTTATAATGTTTTTGCTCTTTTGACTCACGTTTTGAAAATTTTATACTGTAAATGTGATTTCATCCCATGTGGGTATCCACACAGAAAACCGAGGCGCACAAGGCGCTCGCCTCATCACCTAAGCAGTACTTCCCCCATGTCGCCTCGCCTCACCATGCCTAAGGCACAAAGCTACACCTTGCCTCGCCTTGAGCTTAGGCGTGCGCCCAAGCGCGCTTTTCAAAACACTGGGTCTTACAGCTTTAACAAATCAATAACATGTTTTTCATCTTTCCTCTTCTCTCTTTCTATCTCTTGCTCTTCCATCTTCCCTCTTCTCTCACTATCTCTCTTCCCCCATTTTCAACTTTTTTTTGTGTTTTTTGAAAGAAGCAATTCAAAACCGTTACGTAACAGGCCGTTACAACTCCGTTACGACTGCTATAGCAGCCGCTACGGCTGACACACCTGTGAATCTCAATCACACTGCAAAAGCGGTCGTAACGGGTGGCGGTTACAACCACAACCGTTGCGTAACGGCGTTACGTAACAATTGCGGCTGCTTTTTAAAACCTTGATGGCTGGTCATTGAAAAATATGTATGCATGAAGGCCTCCTCATATAGGGTGCGATTGAACCATGGAGGTCAGCTCACCCTCAAACAAATGGCTGACCCATATCCCAATTCCTTTGCATCCTAGGATCAAATCTTGAGGCCTATCATAGGCAGGTATGGTATCTTGAAAATTGCATCAAGTGAGGCATAAGTAACCAAAACACAGAGCAAGAGTGGGAGCGCCAGAGCGTCCTTTGTTAAAATGCCTCAAGAGTGGGAGCATCACTAGAGCATTTCACCTAATTTCACATACTTTTTTTCTTTTCCTTTCCAAATTCCTTCCTAAATCCCTCAACCAAACAAAGCGTTAATTTTTTCTGCACTAATATCTTATAAAGGTGCAACAGTTGTTGATAATGAGGGAAATATAGGGTATGCATCACAAATGATAATCAACTCAGGTTGTGGTCTAGTGGCTCACAAACATTAATTCATTTTTCTTAAGTCACAGGATTGAATCTCATGCAATTACTTTTCTCTTCTTGATGTTGAAAGACATGTGTAATGGGCAGTGTTGTAAACGACAGTCCAGTTTGTCTTCCCCAGTTTGAAGTGTAAATGCGGCACTCAATAATTGGTTGACTTAAACAATCCACAGATTTGCGCGTTTCACTCCCCAATTTGCCGATCCATGCCGTAGTGCGATCTGGCACCACTACTTTGGATGGATTAGGTGACTTAGTGTGAGGCTCTACTCTAATATTAGGTATGATACATCCTCTAAGATGTCGCATGTCTTGTACAAAACCCCTTTCTCACTATGATTGGTCAAGGTAGAGCGACACCATAAGGATGGCCCAAGAAGCCTTGACAGCCCTTTTAACTCTAGCCTCCAAACCACATACATACAATACAACTGATAATTTAGAGTAAAGGGGTTCTTAGGCCTTAATCCCAGTTTAGGTGACCATGGTGGTGATGGAGTTGTCCCAGACCAATAGAGAGGAGGAACAACACATAGGTGAGTCATGGTCTGTTAGAGAGTCCTTTGGTTGAGCCAAAGGGACACTCAGCCATGTTGCGACCGAGCAAGGGTGGGAGCAAAGATTCCTCAACCCAGCTGAGCGAGATACCGTATTCTATGACTAACCTACGGTGTCAAAACTAGAAACTAAGGTGCTGAGTGCATTAGCTGGCTGGGCCACTTCACGTGCCTCCACTTAGTCTTGGTTGATGACACCAATAGGCTATCTAGGAGATAACATGACTTCAGGAGGGCTTGCCATTTGGAGACTCCTTCTCAAGTTGGGGATGATGTGATGCCTACGAGGCTTGCCACATGGTGATTGCCATTCAAATACCCACAAATGGCAATATCACATTTCACAACTTCTATGAAGTATGCTACCACTGCCAACAATTTCACTTAGTTTCATTGCATGAGTCATATTCAAATATGCTTTACAATAAGATGGAATATAATGTTGTGCACAAAAAAATTGAAAAGGTAAAAATATAAACATATATAAATATATCAATACACACAACAATCAGAAAGCACAGGTTTGAGCACCTTGCTCACATCTTCAACTCATGAAAGACGACTAACGCATACATTCAATAAGAGAATTTTAATAATGTGGTCCTAAAAACTGAAGCCTTCTCCTTCAAAAAAAAAAAAAAAATTGATCAAGAGAAATCAACGAAGTTAAGTTTTTTAACATTTGAGGAGTTTAGCCCCATATAAAAAGGTGGGACACAAGTAACCTTACTTCATCAGGCAAGGAAGCAAAATCATGTAATGCACACATATACCATTTGATATAAGTGAATTAACACACACACACACTAGTATCCCATACACACAGATGTAGAGGAGAGAGAGTGTGGAAGTGAAGAAAGACTCACATTTGCAAGGCCTGTTGGTAAGGGTGGAATAATTTTAAAGGTGGTGGGGCGGTTATCCAATTTGAATCTATTCATGATGAAAGGTGCTCCTGCAGGTGCCAAAGGACGAATTGAATGCATCAAGGTTGCAGGTTCCTGCAGTGCCGTAACCGTATTTGATTTGGAACTTTGTTGCACAACATTCTCCACAGATTTGTTCTTCTCAACCACCACTTCGGTTTGTGGTGATGCCACAATAGTACCAGAATCACTGGACCTGGGAGTTGCAGCTTTTGCAATATCAGCCACTATTCCCGCTTTTTGTCTCCTAGCAGCCTGCTCAGATGCTACTTCACCTTTGAGACCTGTAGCCTGCAGAAAATGATAATTTTAGGACAGCTAATCTTAATATATGTGTTTTTTACTCTGTTTTATCATCTATAATTTAAATCATCTTACAGGAACTTCGAACTGCAGGAAGACAGCAAGTCAAAAACCAACTTGCCAGATAGTCTCTTCCCCTCTTCCTTTTTATATTCAAATTTCCAAAGTGGCGCAATCACATATAAGATTCCATCAAATACAAACCACTAAAAACCTTAGGATTACTAGTTTTCCATGGTGATCCATGCAAGTATGGTCATGTCCCTAGGCAGACTGTAAATGGGTTTCCTAATATATGTAGAAAGTGCATAGTTTTTTCTGGCTTAGGATCACTTTCCCATTTTCTTTAGGATTTTGTTTAAGAAGTTTGAAATGGTTTTACATTCCTTATACAAGTGCATGTCATAAAGAATATATAACCATTTTAAACTTCATTAACCCTTTATGTGATTTTGTTGACTTTAGGGGGAGTTGTTACTCTTCAAAACGTGTCCTATTTTTTAAATATTTTTAAAGACCTGGACGCTCTTTGGACACTTGGAGGACACACGTGTCAATTGTTTAAACACGTGTCTATTGATTATACATATGTGAAACTAATTATAAGTTTGAAAAAAACAACTTAAGATACAATAATAAAACAAAAACCATATAAATTTATAGGAAATAGTGCTATATTGCATTTTTTATTATCTTTGAATGATATATTCATATATATAATATATAATAAATATATAAAATTATATATTTCATGCGTGTCCTCCACGTGTCGTGTCCTGCATTTTTTTAAAATTAACGTGTCGGCGTGTCCGTATCGTATTCGTGTCGTGTCACGTGTCCGTGTCCATGCTTCTTAGTGTACATCCCTCCCTACAGATATATAGTAGTGGACACCCTTTGTTTTCTGTATGTCTTGTGGACAGAGCTGCTCCACCCCCCTTTTGTACATCTAACGAGATTTTTACTTATCAAAAAAATCTAGAAAATGCATGCTCACATAAAATAGAACATAGAAATGCAAGGTTAATAATTGATCAAAGGAGGTCATTGCGTTTTTCTTTATACAGCAAAGAATTATGCAGCAAAGTGGAAATTGATAAATGATTACATGTATATATTAAAACACACTTAAAAACAATAAGTTGGGAAAACGGATTATTACTTGTTTTTCGAGTTTATCCAATTGGCGCCGGAAGTCATTGCGTTTCTGATCAAGCAATTCCTGCTTTTTACGGATTTCCTCCTTCAAAAGTTCTAAACCATCCGGCTTCTTTTGCAAAGGAGGTGCAGCTTTGGGACTGTTTGTCACCACAGGCTTAGGGTGATCAAAAGTAGGCACCGGACCAACAGAAGCACAGGGGACACTCATTTTTGGAGCTGTAGATTGGAGATTATCCTTTGCCCTGTGAACAACAGACAGATAGGGTGGAACTAAAACAGCTCCAGCTCCACGAGGAGTTACTGATGCACTATTGCCACCACTACTCATTCCATCATCAGGAATGCTGTCCCGATTGGCCCACCATAGCTTAATAAACCTGTTACCCATAACAGCATCAGGTGCTTTCAGCGCAGAGTCTGCCTCTTCCCTCTTAGAGAACTGAACAAAAGCTCGTTCACTATTTAATGGAATATAAATGTCAATAACCTCACCAAATTTTTTAAAATGTGAAAAAAGGGTTTCTCTTTTGTTGTCTTTTTGGGGAATGCCATTAACAAATACAGTACGCAGCGCCTTTTGAGAAGGTTTCCGGATACTACGCCCAGTATCACCTTGTGTCTTCAGTGATGAATCAACATCATGTGAGCCCATGCCCTCCACAATGATGTGCTTCCCTGGGCAGGCAGCGTGCTGCAGATTGGCTAATGATTCCCGATCTTCCTTTTCTTCGTTTTCAATATAATTTGAGGAACTAATGGTAGAATCAAATTTCTCTTTCAGATCATATTTACTTGTACCAATTCTTCCCCACACAGATGAACCTGTACTTTGAGATCCAAAAGCAGTTGCAGCGCCCCTCACCTTACATTCATTGTCAGTGCCCTCAAATAACCTGACATGGTGACAATCAGAGGGGTCAGTGTCCAACAAACACTCAGTTTCATCAGATGGATTTAGTCCTAGCATTGCTGTAGAAGTTTCTGGACAATCATTAGTCCACAGAGGCTGATCAGGGTCATAAAAATCAGCTCCACCTGCACAAGCTGAACCAGTGAAAACACCATTCATGCCCAATCCATCATCAACCATTCCAGGCTTGCTACTTTTAGCATGTAGACTCTTGCTATTTATCAACATGCTCGAAGGAGCACTAACTGACACTAAATTAGGTGGCGTTCCCAGCAGGTGTGCACTTGGAAGTGAAACAGGGAGATTAAACTGTGAAAGGCTCTGCAATTCCAAAAACAATAAGTCAGTTAAAGTAGTTTAAACATATGCCCAAGCGATGAAGTGTTGCCTTAATGTTGTGTTTAGATCTTGGTTTGTGCAGGGATTAATGGAGGGAAAGGAAAAAGGAAGGGAAAAGCGAATGAAATACAATTAGTTAAAGTAGTTTAAACATATGCCCAAGCAACAAAGTGTTACTTTAATGTTGTGTTTCGATCTTGGATTTGTGGAGGGATTTATGGAGAGAAAGGAAAGCGAAAGAGAAAAGTGAATGAAATATAAGCTATTTCTTTCTTCAGTTGACCCTTCATTTTCCTTTTCCTTCCCAAATTCCCTGCACAAATCCAAGATCCAAACAAAGAAATTATAAATCATATCTTGGGAAACACCACAATATAGCATCCAAATACACCACACACATGAATAGTGTAAATCCATCAAACAACCAGAAACATGACTTACAATGGCAAAATTATCCATAATTAGGAGTGAAACTCTTGCAAACCATCACAGCCATGAGTCATAATCATCAAGTGAATGGCCAGGAAGTTATAAACATTGAATTGTAGAGGTCATATAGTGATAGTCATTTGATGGTTCCACTGGTAACAACAAAACTAATGAGCACACAAAAGGTTGGCACATCTACAGGAAAGGCCCCACCATTCATGGGTTCTCCTTCCAGTGAAATCTCCTAAGAGTAAATCTATTGACATGAACCCCTTAAACTGGAGATCATGGTTAAATGACATAACAACAACCAGAGAGTAACTAACCAGGTACATATATGATACTTGGTATTGAGTAACGTTGTTATGACCAAATTTGCTTACCAAATGATGTGTCATCACTGCATTAGCGCAATGGATCCTACCTTCCATGCTCTGTCCCAATGCATGGAAAAGATGTAAGATGCCATGTCAGATTGTATGCAAATTTGATACAAAATTCGGCATCCTAGCATTACTCCTCCTAGGTATCACATTTGTACACAGGATGGCCAACATTTATAGTAGAAAGGCAACAGAATTAAGCAATGACAGTGGAAGATGCCACCGGAACATGCCAACGATATCTTCACAATAATTTCTAACATGCAGGTGTTGGCGAAGTGTACAAGTGTTTATTCATTGGTACTAACCAAAGTGCAAGAACTAATGAAGCCATAATCCATTAGTCTGCTTACAGTGAAAAATATAATGCAAGTTTTGTTAATAAATAAATTATTATTATTTTTCAGGTTAAGATGCATGTCTCAACTGAAACTTGAACCCTGCACCTCCCCCTTTGGAGTTGGCTGGAGATACAGCTTACAGATTGCAATGGTTAACCATGGAAGATAGGACAGGTAGTCAAGGTAACATAACTATTTGATCCATAAGACAGAATCCTCCAAAGCCAATAGGTCATTGTTCCAACTAATATCCATATTTGTCATATAATACACTTTCTTCCCACAGCTTCCCAAACATTATCCATCATTAAATAGGCCATAAAGCTTTGAGTAGATGAATGCAAAATACCACATACCTGAACATCTTCAACAACAATCCGATTGACACCATGCTCCATCGGACACACGTCTCCTCTTAGGCAAAAGCCACGCTCCTCAAAATCTCTACATCGTTGGCGTGGAATACCAATATTTAGTGAAGGACTAATTGATGGTCTAAGCGTTCCTTGCAAACCGAGGGAATGGAGTGTATCCAGACCACCATTTGGAACTCCAGTAATCAATCCAAATGCACTCCAAGGAGCACTCTGTGAGTTTGAAACATTTGACAACCCCCTCCCTGCAAACAGTCTTGGAGGAACAGGTACCTGGGGAACCATTTGAGAAGCAATATCAACAGAGCTGAACCTAGGATCACATTGGCCCCGTGAACCAGATTCCCTTCCTCTACCCCTATTAAGACCAAGCTCAGCAGACAATGATTGATTAACCCAGTTTGAAGCCCGGGAAAACGTTGCTAAACCAGGGCGTATTTTTCCAAACTTCACAGATAGGTCTTTCTCCAGAGGGGCCATATTGTAACTTTTCCAGGTTTCACTTGACTGAGAATCGTTCCCCCTATAAGGATGCCCATTTTCAAAAGGTTTGTTTCTCTTTCTGTATGGCCTTATTAGAACTTGTTCCAGAGCATCTCTCTCCATAGATTGGGACCGTGTCTCCCGCTTACGATGCTTATGATTACGATCATCATCATCATCATCACTGATTTCTTTCTCTTCAGGATCACTGACACAATCAGAAGGTGAAAGAGCCCTAGCCTTTGGAGATGAAACTTTTAGCACCATTGGATTCCTTTAAAAGAAACACAATGCTCAACTTGTTTTATTGCAATCAAAGTTTCAACCCCCAAGCAGATGAGGCAATCAAACCTCTGGCGCTTGAATCCATTCAGCAGTTACCAGCATGCCTATTAAGGGAAAGGATTAAAGCATAGAAAAACAAACAAAAATCATTTGCCATGAAACTTCTCAAAACAAGGATAAATGGCTATATCAGCAAGTATGCTCATTTATGTCTACCTATGAGTAAGAGGAAAAGGCATAAATACTGGCTATATCAGTACTCTCTCTCTCTCTCTCTCTCTCTCTCTCTCTCTCTCTCTCACACACAAAGGAAATGGGGGAAAAAAGTACAAAAAAGAACATGGATTGAGGGTGTGGCAAAGAACATGATTGTGTTGAACTTAACAGAGAATCGCTTCACATAGAGCTAACTGGAGAAAACAGATCCATCTAGCCAACCCCAACTTACCGCGATTGAGGCTCATTGCATTGAAGTTTGCCACCAAGTATTTACACTTCATTTGGTTTGAGTGATTTGGAGAGAAAAGAAATGAAATCAAGAGAAATGGATTTCAACCACTTGTTTGGATTACCAAATAGGAGACAAATGGGAAGAAATGGAGAGAAACAAATTTATCTCATAACCCCTATTTTGAATCTCTCCAAAAGTGGAGAAATTGAGAGAGAAATGAAACCAACTAAATACTATTTTGTTATAAATATCATTTCTTTTCTTTTCTTTTCTCTCTTCTCTATCCAAACAAAAAGGAAATAAATCACAATCTTTTATTTCTTTTCTTTTCTCTCATAACTTACATAATCAATTCTTTTCTTTTCTCTCCTAGGTTACCAAACATAGTGTTAAGGAAAATTTCTGGGCTTATTTGGCTTGCTGACTCTGCAGATCTAAACATCATGCCCTTATTTTTATTTTTATTTTGATTGGCAAACATCATGCCCTTATCCTTTCATTCTCATATAAAATTAAAAGGAGATGTAAATCTTCCATAAGTTAAAAGATCAGATAAGCATCAGTGTGCGTTTTCGAAGATAATAGCCAGTATTCCAACGTTGATAAACGTAAATCTCTGCAGTAACTCAAAGCCCGGAGAGATAAGTTTTTCTTTCCATATAGAAGAGAAACACGAAGGTGCTTCTTGTTGGCCAACAGGCTTAGCTGTTAATATCTTAGAATATACTACCACTGTAAAACAATGGTGGTGTTTGGGAACCTAGGTTCCAAATTTTTTTCTCATTTTTTTCACTAAAAGACAAACTTTTTACAAAACCAAAAAAAACACATCCAAACAAAATATCACATCTAACCCCATAATCATTTCACTTTTTCTCTCACAAACATCACATCCAACCACATAAAAACCCAACTATCTTCCCAAACACCAAAAAATTTTTATCCAATAAAAACCTACAACTAAAAAAACCTACATAAAAACTCACTTCCCAAACACCATCAATAAAAGCTCACCTTCATGTGTTTCCTGTATCTTGAGAAACAAATACAAATATATGACAACGAACACAATAAAAACAACACATGTTCCATACACATGATATGTAAAACCCTTTTATGTCTTCACCAGTTTGTAACAGAAACCAATTTTGAACATCAAATATATCGTTTTTACAGTAGAACATTGCAGATTACAAATTGAAAAAAAAAAATGTTAATTAACTTTTCAAAACTATGTATATATGTAAAGGACATTCACAATCAAAAAAGCATGTGGAGCCCTCTCATCTGCTTTCTTTTGCCCCTTTAAAGAGAAAGGGGGAGGAAGAGGAAGAAGGGAAGCATTTCTGTATTGTGATTTAAATCCAACTCCATATCGTGAAGTGTTCTATAATAAAGAGATCCTAGTCATTGGGGCAAATGGAGAATTCAATATTGGTTTAAATTTTGCAAACATTCAATATATGTGAACTGAGATGCGCTGACCACAATTTCAATACATCTAATTCATCCCAACCTTGATTTTGTGCAATTAAATTGCAATTATGGGCCAGTTATGTGCAGCTCAGCCCGATTCTGCACTTATTTTCCTTTTCAAAAGGAAAATGGAGTACTATTTTTATTGTGTGATATAGTTCTTACAAATAGGGCACTACATCAGCACTCCATCTCCCTGAAATAGCACCCAGGTTGCAGTACACCAATGCACTTAATTCCGTTTAAAATTGACCCCACATCTCCCCCCATCACCCAGCTGAACACACATCCCCCAGCTGCCTAAAACCCACATTTCATTCAACAATATCCATGAAATACATCACAAACCATTGAAACTTATTGAAACAGAATGACACAGCAGCTACGAAATTTAAAGAAATCCATAACTACATCAATACATTCAACACAATTAGAACTGCTCAAATTTCCAAGTTCTCAATTACCACCCAGTCTTAATCGAAGTAACAGTAAAAAACATTTCTGATTACGAACACGTGCCAAAATTTGATACGCAAACAAAAATGATAAACGGACTTTTTCCTCTCTCTCTCTCTCTCTCTCTCTCTCTCTCTCTAAGAACGAAGACTTCCCCCTCTAAACGATCCGCAACCAAAACCCTAGCGAAATTAAAATCAAAATTCATTACATAACTCAAATCAACAAGAGATTGTAAAAATACATATAAAATATTCAACTTCAATCCTAAATTCAGAAGAAGTAGAAGAAGCCAACCTCATTGTACAGATTTGCGTCCTTAGGGTTCCGATTCTCTCTCTATACAGCTCGGTTTGGGCTAGAATAGTGACCGTACCGTATTTTGCCTCCTATTTTGCTTCTCTCTCTCTCTCTCTCTCTCTCTCTCTCTCTCTCTCTCTCTCTCTAATGTATAAATATATTTCTCTCTCTAAAAGTCTCTCTCCTTTTCTCACTAAAATGAAGAAAAAGGATGAAGGGTTTTACAGAAGCATAGATACACAGAGGGAGTTACGCCCAATTCGAGCAACTTAGCCCCAACAATTTCCAAAAATCTGAAATTATTCACATCAGATGATGTTTTTGCGATTTTATTTCCCCATCAAAAAAATAAATTTAAAAAATTTACTCTCTAATTTTATTTTAGTGAAATTATACATTTGACCCCCAAAGCCCTGGGTTGTTGAAGACAAACAGAATAGACGAGGGGACGATGGAAAAGAAGGTTTCTAACCTATAACCTATAAGACTATCTACAAAGGTTCGGTATTTTTTTCATTAAATTTGAATAAAAAATTATTTATTTTTTTAATTTAATATCAATTGCTCTAACGGTGTATCAAAAAAAAGAATCATCCCGTGGGTCGACCGGTAAGGTAAATTTCTTTTCTTTTTTTTTTATCTTTTTAAACTGTTTGAACCTACCTAACCGTTTATTCAAAAAAAATTTGTACCGTTTGAACCAATTCGCATGACAATTTTTGAACCATTTGCATGAGCTGGTCGATCACCATGTGTAAAATTTTCACTCCATTCTGCTTTAACGCCTATGCACAATTAATTGATGAAAGGATCAATCTATTCTTACTTTGATGAATTTTTTGTTGAATTCTTGTTTTGATACCAATTTGCTGAAATCATTGGAGCACCAAATAGTGACTTTTTCACCAAAATTCAAATTTGATGCCAAGTGTGATGAAGCGTTAGAGATGATCTAAGAGCTCTAATATTTTTATTTTAATTTTTTTAATTTTTTGATTTAAAAAAAACATTCAGTATTTATTGATTTTTCTTAACTCATAAGCTTTTTTTTTTATTTCTCTCATAATTATTGTAATACTCTATTCAACTTCTCCCATATATTATGGTTAGTAGTGTGATTGTCAAACTATTTTTATAAAAAATCTAAAAAAATAATTTGTATATTAAAAATTTTTCTAGTTTTTTGATTTAAAAAAAAGACTCGGTAGTTTATTGACTTCTCCCAACCCATAAACTTTTTTTACTTCTCTCATTGTTATTGCAACACCATTTTCAACTTTTCCTATACACTATGGTTAATAGTGGAATTGTCAAATTATTTTTATAAAAAATCTTTACAAAATAATTTGTATATTAAAAAATTTTCTTGTTTTTTGATTTAAAAAAAAAAACTCAGCATTTATTGACTTCTCTCAACTCACAAGCCTTTTTGACTTCTTTCATATTTGTTGCAACATCTTTTTCAACTCCTCTCATACACTATGATTAGTAATGGGATTGTTAAATTATTTTTATAATTTTATAAAAAAAATAATTTATATATTAAAAATTATCTAAAACAAATATAAATATCTATATCTATCTATCTATATATCATATAAGGAAAATGGGGTTTTAGAGAAAAGTCTTCTAGGAGATCCAAATCCTTGTTCTAAAATTATTCAATTTTCTTAATTTTAAACAATTAAGAAAATTTCTGTAACGCCCTCAAAAATAAACCCATTAATTATATATATCATCAGCATGCAATGTTAGAAAGGAAAATTTTCATTATAATATTCATCAGAGTCTTACTAAATAAAAACATTACATGTAACCTCAAATTAAATGCCCTACAGGCTTACATCTTTCCAAGCCAACACTTGGACAACAAAAGTATGAGTTCTAACTCAAATACAAATAAAGCCCTAGGCTTGAATGTTTACATGTACTAACAAATAAAAACAAACAACTAAA